CACAAGCAACAAAAAAAAATCCCAAACTCAAAATGGATCAAATCATCTCTTTTCTCTCATTCTCTCTCTCTCTCTCTCTCTCTCTCTCTCTCTCTCTCTCTCTCTCTCTGTGTGTGTTCTTTCTTCTTTTTCTCCCTCTCTACCCGCAGTCCATGAACAAACTAGAACCTCCATTTTTTTTCCTTCTCCTCCTTTTTTCTTTCCTTTTTCTTTTCTTCCCTTCCCTCTCCCAAATTTTCCATCGTTCTCCTCCTCCTTGTCTCTCCTCTATTTTGATTTCTTTCTCTCCGAACGATCCAAAGAGTTTTTTCTTTGGCTAGTTTTCCCTTTAATCCTCTCTTACAAAATCTTCTTCCCTCTATCTCTATTAATCTCTACCGAATCAAAACACAATTTCTTTTCCTTTGTCCTAAAATTTCATGAAAAGTGGTTGAACCCTAAACTTTAATTTTTCTCATTTTTCTCTCAATCAGCCTTAATTGGCCCAATTTCTCTTGAGATTAAGTGATCTCAAACCTCTTAGAGTCCTTTTCTTTTTTCTTTTTTTTTAAAAAAAAACCTAATTATTTTGTTAATTTCGAACCCAATAACTCTAGATTTGTTATAGCCTAATTTAGTTTCAATCCAGGGTTTAAACCTTCAATTGAAACTTTAATTAACCTCAATTAGCCTTAATGTCAATCATTCAAACACAATTTCAATCTAAACAACAAAATCCCTAAATTCAAAAACCTAATTGTCTAAAAATCCTTAAAAAATTAAATTTTTTGAAATTTAAACCCAAATTGATCTAGCTTTGAATTCAATTCAAAATTTTAATTGAGTGAAAAGCAAACACAAGTGTGTGTGTGTGTGTGTGTGAGAGAGAGAGAGAGAGAGAGAGAGAGAGAGGAAATTTAGGGATGGTAGTGATGAACATCACTACCATCAATCCTCTAGAAAAAGAATTTATATTGGGATGAATTAAGAGTGGATTACATCAAGGATAGTTCCAATAGAGGATGAAGAAAATCCCCGATGATTACTATTGCTCTATCAAAATTGGGTAAAATCCTCTCCTCTCTCTCTCTCTCTCTCTCTCTCTCTCTCTCTCTCTCTCTCTCTCTCTCTCTCTCTCTCTTTGCCTTTCAATTCCAGTAACTAATTCCAATTTTATTTATGATTGCTTATATGTTTTTTCTTTGATTTTCTCTTTCAGCTTTGTTTTTTTAATAATAACTCCAATTGTTACTTGCCCTTTGTTTTTTTCCTCAATTTTTTCAAAGAACTAACTCTCTCCTAGACTAATTCATCTCCCTCTTTTTATGTTTTTTTGCTACCATTTATACTTGTGGCATTGTTGGTTTGCCACTATTGATGGTGTGGAATTTTCTTCACACATATGGTATAGGGAGGTTGGGCATGTTCTTATAGGATGGCTAGGTGCGAGAGTTGCTACTTGTAGAGTGGAAAATTATAGGATTAAGGATCTGTTGGATTGCAAGTTCTTACTTGGAGGCTCACAATAAGATATAAAATTACAAGATTGTAGGGAGTTGACAATTAAGAGTTGGCGATAGGGATGATTGATTGTCCCTCCATCTCGGCTTTTTTATTGTATTTATCATTTTTTGGATTGATTTTTTTATTTTTTGTATTTTGTATCAAACTCCTAATATCAATAAAACACACATTTTTTTTAATTTTTTAGTTGATTAATTTTTTTAATTTTCTTTTTTTTTTTTTTTTGAAATAAGAAATGAACTAAAATAAATAAACAAAACTAAAATAAAAGAAACCAGAATATCGGAGGAAAAAATGAAATAAAAACAAAGAAAATAGAGAAAAAAATAAAAATAAATAAAAATGAAAAAATTTGGGGTACGATAGTGTTTAATTAAAGATTTATCATGATATTAATATTAGATATGTAATTAATTGTTGATTGGATTTATTGAGATGAATAATTCAGCTAGGGTTCATTGGTGTTCTATACTTGTTGAAATTCAGCTTGAACTTAATGAATGGGCGATTGTGTGGAAGCATAATGGATTTGTTTTGCTTATGAATATTTATTATTGGAAATTATGGTTGATTGCGAGAAACTTAATGGATTCAACCTAAGTGTATGCTTGTTGCAATTTGGCTTTTGCTTATGTATTGAGTAATGGTGTTGTTGCTTGATGGAATTGGTTTACTTGTGGTGATTTGGTTGGTTGGTTAAATAATTGGATGGTTGTATTGATGTGAGATGAGTTGGCTTGCTGAATGAATTCTCTAGGGTTAGGTTATATGATTTTGTATGCTTGTGTAAATGGATAAATTGAACACTTATTTGGCTTAGACAAATGAATAGTCTTGTTAATGATGGATGATTCAGCTTAAATAATGTTTTGCTTATGATTATTTGATTTGGTGGGTTAGATAACTACATAATATCACTTGATTATGTGTTTAGGTGTTTAAGGAATATTTGAATGGTTGAAATGTTCCAAGATGACTTGACATAGGTAGGCTTAAAGGAAGAATTTGTGTTTGGGATGCCATGTGATGAATTTGGCTAATGGTCATGAAATTGTTTGAGGTTGTTATGGCTTGATGGATTCAAATTAAAGAAATAATTGAGGTAGCTTGGATTATGTTCATCGTTGGCTTTAGCTTGATGTTGGAAGGTTGTATGCTTATAGTGTCATGTAAGGGATTCGACCATGTGTTGTTTTAGGTTATGTTCATGAATTGTTGATGACATATGAGTTCTGTTCATAGTTGTTTAAGGCTAGATAGTTTCAGCCTTGTCATGTCATTTTAATTGTATTCATGGTTGGTTTAGGCTTGATGATATTCAACCTTGAATGTATCCAAAAATGGTTTAATGTCATATGATTCGTATTTATGTTTATACTTAATATTGCATTCTAATTGCATTCACATCATGAAATGTTTTATGCCATGATTTCAAGTATTCAAGAAAGGCCATGTACATGATTTTATGAGGACATGACATGGCTAGGCATGTTCAAGAGGAACAAGGGAGATGATCAACTCTTATGAGGTTTATTGAATCGAACATGTCTAGAGCCTTTATGGAAAAAGAGGGCTAAAATTATATATATTCGGTAGGGCGCACTCGAAAGACAAAAAAGAATTTCAAACATGAAAAAAGATGGTTTTCGAGTGCATTCATGCATAGTTAAACTTATTGAGATTTAGCTCATTTTATTTTGTCTTGTGGTGTATGTGAATAAATCAATGCTTGAGGACATGTAGATGCGTTGAGGAGCTGGTCATGAGCTACGAGTTTTCTAAATTATGTACTATATGTCTAGGTTTAAAGTTTGAAGGCTAAACCATTGTTAGGTTCGGCCGCTTATTGGTAATGCCTAGATTCGACTATTTTGAGTTGTAATGGTTGATCTATAAGTTTATTTTAGTATGTTAGTATATGCATTTATTAGATCAAAGGATTATGAGAAATGATGTCAATTTGCATATATTGATGAACCATCTCACTCAAAAGTTTAAGTTGCTAGGTGAAGTTTCAAAAGAGCTGTTAGATGAGGTTTTAAAAATGTGATTTCTATGACTCAACAAAGGGAATAGATCGGAGGGAACATAGATGAAAGTGTAGCCAACACATCATGCTCCAAGTCATCAAAAGTATTCACAATCATAGCTGAAGCTTGTGAAGCCTTATCTATTGAAAGTATAGAAGCGTTTAGCATTATATCATTTCGATCTGTTGTGCGAATGAAGGTTGGAAAGTCCCGCAGACGAATATCTTCATTCCTGGAATCCAATCTATTTCTGTCTCCAAATATCCATTAGTCAAATAGCTTACATCTGCAGCATAAGATTAATTGCAAAGATGAGTTGAGATTATAAATTAATGCTTGTATATATGAAATTTGTTATAAATTTGTCGAGTACCTTTTGAGTGGAACAAAACCTCTTTCAGCAAGCTGTTTATAATGTGCAAAGGCCAAGAAATCACACCCACTTGAAGTCCAAAACAAGACAATAGGGACTTGAAATTCGTCCTTTACTTCGGAAGTACATGCCACCATCTGCAACTATCCAAGTCACAGGTGGGACAACATTTGATGAATTGAGTTTGGCAAGAAGCTCACGAAATGGGACAATAGAGTCATGAAAAGATGAACCATCTTGCCTAATTATATCAGCATCAATCAGGGGGAGACCATCTGGGATAGTTTCGAACTGGAAATCAGGCAGACCATCAAGGGAGTTGGGTGCTAGCTCTGGACTTGAGCAAGCGTCTGTGATTGTATTCCGTGTTGATAAAGGGCCTGAACTACTTCGGTTTCGACGATGATTTGGAAAGAATTGGTTGACAAAGCTGGTGGATTCGGTGAATTCGGTGAATCAATCAACTTGGTGACAACTTTAACCATTAAACTTATTCCTTTGCAGTTTTCTAATTTCTCAAAAAAAAATTCGTTTTATTTAAAAAATTAGATACATGTATATGATTATAAAAATAAAAATAAAGTTAATTTTTATTTGATTTGTTGTTTCAATTTCACCTAAAAAAAAATTAGAGGCTTTTTCCTGGTAATTCTCCTCGTTAAATTCACCTCTTCCATTTGATTAAAGAAAGTCATTCATGTTGAGATTTTGACATTCAATTTGCCTTTATATTACAGCCTGATTTTTAGGTTTTTTCTTGTGAATCTTGATTGTTAATTTACGTAGCTTTTTCATCTTGTATGCAGGGATGGATTATTGTTGCACATATATACAAATTATGAAGTGATAGCAGAACCACAGTTGGTGGTTTGAGCCAAATTAAGCAAGTTAAAATCAAGAACCAAAAGAGTAATTGTATATTACCTTTAACTGAAATTCAATAACTCAAATACAGCCATTCTGTAGTAAATAGGAGTAAAAATTACATAAAGAAATAGTAGAGAACAGTATAATCACCACACCAGACAACAATACACCAAGCAAACTAGATGAAGTTTGCCAGAAAATGAAGCATTAGATGGTATATTGATCGTTCAAGGACTAGTAGTTGAGTGAGATGGGTTGATGTCCTTGGGAACAGTTGGCAATGTGGGCTTAGTCAGCTCAGGAAAATGGGGAAAAGGTGGCATTTCAAATTTTGGTATTTCAAAGTTTGGCAGTTCAGGTTTTGGGAATTCAGGCAATTCAGGCTTGGGAAGCTCAGGCAATGATACCTCCAGAAGTTGGCGTGCCTCTACCAGAATTGTCTGGCTGATCATCAATGACATACTGATCATCATAAGTGGTAAAATAAATGATGGGAGGTAATGATTGGCCATGGTTGTGGACACAGCAATGGCTTTGAGAGACAAAGGAGAGTTTTAGAAAATCCCAAGTGGGGTGGAGTGTGCTTTGTGCAATGCTTTTCTGTGAGAAAATCAATGGGTTTTTATAGATGTGAGGGGTGGAGAATAGGGAGTTCTGAAGGGCAAGTTGGCAGGAAAATTTATTAAGTTGGTAGTTCAACTTCTCACCTATGATGCTTGCTTGCACAACTTTAACACAATCAGCTTTCAAAGATCCCCTTAAAGAAACAAAAAAAAAAAAAGTGAAATTTGATACATCTAGATTGACCAGCTCTTATCTTTCACCAGGGGCCTCCTCAAACCAAATTCATCCATCATCCATATAATTTGGGAATTGCAATCAAGGGAAGTTTCTAGGGTGCATCATTTGGCAAGACTTGTCCTTGCCAAATTTTTGTGTTCGTTGTAACCAAATCATGAATTAAAACGTTACTCTGACAAAGAAGACTTTCCATTTTAAGTTGGTGTATAAGAGTTAATCCAAGCCAGAAAAAAACATAAGCAAAAAACACTTGCAATGGCTAATGTTGATTAAGCTGTAGAAGTGGGGAGCTCGTGAGTCGTGACACCCCAGATGACGGGTTCAACTCCTATCCTTGAATAATTACTCCTTTTTCATGTTGTACCAAACAGTTACAATACTTTAATTATGTAAATTGGATTAATGCGACCTTTGAGTATTCCTCCAAAGCCTTGCAGATACCCTTCTTCCTCATAAATGAAAAGAAAGAAGACGAAGAACAAGTCGAGTTGTGAAGGTTTTTTGTATGATTTCGATCAGATGGTTTGCCGTTACCCTTGAACTTCATGATTTGGACATATAATATTTACTCTCCTGTGTGGCTAGTGAAATAGGCTTCATGAAAACTTGGGCCAATATATCATGTAAACTCCATGTAACTTTATCTTGAGGCTCATCCTAAGTCCGGTAGTCTACTTGATTTTGCTAGAGAAATACTAGCTCAGAAGCATACTTTATTACTTGGCAGCAAGCACTACTGCTTTTGACTTCGAGAAACTAGCAACTTCCCCTGTAAGTTTACATCTACAGGGATGAATGAACTTAAGTAAGACTAATTAGCTTCATTTCTTACTTAATCCATGCAATTAGACATGCAGAAAGCAAATATATCATCCATCAGAATCCGCAACTTGAAAGCTATTATGCAAAATAAACAATACTGCATTATCAACTAAGAGGAGTTGAGTTATACAACAGCATATTACGAAGTATGACAACAAATGAGACTATAATTACAACACACATATGACAGGGTAGTTAATCCCAGGAATTCCGAGGGAATAACATTATTTTTCTATCTTCACTTATATATAAAGAAAGCACAAAATGATAGAAGACTTGACAAAAAAAAAAAAAAAATCACACGGATAAATCAGCAGCAAAATTCAGAACCAAAATGCTCGGTCTTTTACTGCAACTTTCCCACTTTTGTCCTTCAGATTGCTTTCCTTGTAATCCAGTGTCCATTTCTCAAATGCACAGTGGACGAAGTCATAATAGCCACCGTGAATAGTGAGTTTTCCATTCCTCACCTTTTCTTCTACCCAAGGGTAACTAAGGAGGTTTACCAATGAACAGTTGACTGATTCCTGTAGAAAACAATATCAGCAAGAAATCATTCACCGTGACCATGGTTTAAATTATTTAAGCCAACTCTTATCAAATTGTATTCTTCTCTAACACTGGTTAGCAGCAATCCTAAACCCATTATTCATTAAGAAGAGATTTTGAGTGAGCATTGAATCCCAAAACTTTCAATGTTAAACAGGAACAAAAATGGGATTGGAGAAAACCAGTTGCCTTTGCAAAGTAGGGCTGTCCCCTACAAAAGTTCATAGTAAGGCTATCCACAGGGAAGAGGGCCAAAGTTGTGGTAAAGCAGAAGGGTAAAAAAAGATCAATCTAAACCCAATCCAGTAACAAACATGGTTAATATACTTTTCACCCCATTTCTCAGATAATAGCCACGAATTTCAATAGCATCAAGTTGGTCACTGTCAGCTATTTTATGAAAAACATAATTGAATAAAAACGAATTTAAACAGAAAAAAGAAAAATGGTTAAAGCAAGCAAAAAGAGGTCATCAAAACTATAAAGTCATGCTCAGAATTAATGAAGAATACTCAAAAATTAACGAAGAATCTTAGGAACAGTGTTTCATTCTCAATCCTTGATAAAGAAAAAAATAAAAGAACTAAGACCATGCATATATGCATGCTGGAAAAAAGCAGGAAACATGGCCTTTTAAATTTCGTAAAACATAATCACCTTTTCACAATGTTTGCACTGCTGGTCAAAGTTCAGAAGATCAGTGGCAGCCTTTGTTTTCACTCTTGCATTCATCCCCACAGAAACCCAACTTCCAATGAGGCTACTGAAAATAGAAAAAAATTAAAGAGTTAAAATGAAAGGATAAACATAAATTTACACCTTTAACAAGGATGATATTTGATGATTGCAAAAAACAGATATTATCTTGATTGGACCTTGTTTCTACATCATCATGCATACTCATTAGAGCGCGGATGCCTCCACATTGACTGTGACCAATTACTAAAATATTTTCAACCTGCAAAAGTATTCATTTATGGTTTCAAAAACAAAGATAGATATAATCCAGGAGATTTCAGAAGTATTAGTTGCCATATTGTTTCATATTCCAATGGCCGATGTAGAGAACATTTGATTCTTACATATAACTCTCCAAATGTTACGGGTCATGATATATATATATATATAAAGGGTTTGTTATTATGAGTCATTGGAGTCATCATCATTAGTTTACAGTCTGATGTCCCCTGCTTACAATCAAGCTTTTACAATCTGTTTTTGCTATATATAATGTACATAAACCCATGACTTCAAGGGAAAGCAAGAAAAGAAAGAAGCCTAGAGTTGTAGGCTTGTATAACTTACTTCAAGAGAATTTACAGCAAACTCTAAGGCCGCATTTGTTTCAGACGGACCATTCTGCATAAACAGAAACGAAGATCAAACAAAAAGGTGAGATGCTGGTAAAAAAAATTTTTAGGCTATCATTCAAGTGTTCACTCCACAGCATCAATGCTTCAGATAAAGCACAGACATGAAGTTGGGACGTGCTCATGCAATGAATCATATACCTCATATGGTGGCACCATGTTTGCAACATTGCGAACAACAAATGCTTCACCAGGCTGGAATCCTAAGATGGATGAAGGGCAAACCCTTGAGTCTGCACAAGCAATCACCATAAACTGCACTTGAATTTGTTAGTTGAAGTGTACCACTATTTTCTACTGGTTCGGATGCAAAGTTGCAGTAAATGCTAAACAAGATGCTAAACTGCATCCATAATATGTACATCGTACTTTACAAACTAGAAAAACCATTATTACCTTTGGTGATTGACCCTTGGCAAGCTTTTCATAGAGTTCCAAGTCTTTCCTGCTCAAAAATCATCTCACATTAGAAGGCAGGATAAGTTTCATCAAAACTAAACCACGTCAGGCCAAAGTTCTTCGCTGCTTACATGTATTTATGCTTTTTAAAGCTCAGAAACCGTTGTTTCATCTCATCAAATAAATCAACATGTTCAACTCCTGCCATGCGCTCCAATTTCTCACTTTGAAGTTCCTTAGTCAATCCAGGAGGCTCCCTGGAAGCCTGTAATTTGAAATCTGAATTTGTCCTGAAAACATTTAAGCAAGCCATTGCAGTAGAATAAGCAAATATGCCACAAACTAATTAAGCACATGGCAGATAACTTGTATCGCATCAAAGACATGCTTATCTTCATCTCTTAAGCTCAATTCCGAAGGTTGCTGGTAGGAGTCATTGTCTTAAACTATACACTCTCTGCTATAAATAAAGTAGATGATTAAAAAAACTAAAAATTTAAAAAAATAAAATAAAATCATCAGAAAATCACCAGGCAGTAACATTCTCAGCATCACATCCACACAAGCAAAGTCATCTGTATTTTAACCAAGGGATGACAGGGTAGACAAAAATGATATAACAATTTTTTCTTTTAACTCAAAAAGAAAAACATAGACAACCAGGTTATGTTGCACCATACTATATCAAGATTGATTACAAATCAATTCAGCTCAATAAATTAAAAATCTAAATAGTTCAAGACGAGACTCCAGCTAAAATAACAGCTTACAAAATTAAAGCTAAATTTAGCAATAGAAATTAAGCAACAATAAGGAAATAAATAAATCCAAAAGTAGAAACTTATTGACAAAACCAAAGAAAGTAACACCAACTTACTTCAACTTAGCCCCCAATCTCAAATGGGTTTGCCCAATCCCTCCTAAATTTGCCTTAGAACCAAAGATCTGCAACAAGAAAGCAAATAAACAAAGAAACCAACCAAAAGAAACTAAATAAAACATCTCAATATCCATACACGGAGAGAAAAAAGAAAAGTTTACATTTTGGGTTACCAAGACGGAAGCTTTAGAGGGATCCAACGGAGGGGGATTGGAGAAGGGGTGTTTTGAAAGACAGAAAGGTGGTGATGGGACAGCCATTGGCGAGACAAAGAAAGGTAAAGTCTATGTTTTTGGATGGAGAGAAATGAGGATTTAGGAGAGTAGACATGGGTGAGAATAAATTAAAGACAGAGGAGGCTGGTGGGGTTGATAGTGTTGTGGAAAGCACAAGAAAGAAACACTTGTTTTTGTCTCCAAGAAAGACGGAGAAAACAAGGTAAAGAGCCAACTGTGTTTGCGCTCCATGGAGTTGCCAACTAAGCATCTCTGGTCCATTTGTCTCAAATAAAGTACTGAGTGGTCCTTGTTTGGTCGTACAAAAGGGATTAAATTATATATTAGTCCCTCTAGTTTAGTGAAATGAATTAATTAATTCTCTTTGTTTTAAAAAAACTAATTATTTATCTTCTCATGGTTTAATTCCATCAATAACTTAATTTTTTAATTATTTTTTTTATTGAATTAGTAGAAAAATGTCCTTTACTACCGTCTTTTCTAAACTATTCTTTTTTGACATTTTTTTCTCTCCTTTTTCACACATTTTTTTCTCTCATCAACCATCACAATGATCTCTTTTTCAATTTTTCAATTAATTTCTCTTTTCACAACCATTATAGTGATTTTTCTTTTAATTTTTTCAGATAGCTGTTTTTTCTTAACTATTCTTTTTTGATATTTTATTTCTCTCTTTTTTCATCCATTTTTTTCTCTCATCAACAATCATAATGATCCTTTTTTCAATTTTTTTCAATCAATTTCTTTTTTCTCAACCATTATAGTGATTTTTCTTTTAATTTATTCAGTTAGTTTTTTTTTTTTTAACTATTCTCTTTTGACATTTTATTTCTGTCCTTTTTCACCTTTTTTTTTTCTCTCATCAACCGTCATAATGATCTCTTTTTAAATTTTTTCAATCAATTTCTCTTTTCTCAACCATTATATTGATTTTTCTTTTAATTTATTCAGTTAGTTGATGATTGAAAAGAGATAAAGGTCACCATGATAGTTGATGAGAGAAAAAAATGAATAAAGAAGAGAAATAAGGTATTAGAAAAATGATTGTTTGTAAATAAAAAATACTATAGTAGGATACTTTATTACTAATCTAATGAAGAACTATTGAAAAGATTAAGTTATTGATAAAATTAAAACATAAAAGATTAAATTATTAGTTTTTAAATTAAAATTGATTAATTAATTTGTTTTTTTTAAAAAAAGGGCTAATTTATAATTTAGTCGCGAAAGGGCCAAAAGATGGAAAAGAGAGGAAAAGGAGGAAAGGGTACTACTTGAGATAAAATAAAAGGTCAAGCAAAAGGAATGAAATGGATTGGCTTTCCTTCTGCACATTCTGTACTTACCTTTTTACTCTTTTTATTTTTATTTTTTTTATTTGTTTCACTTATAAATGTAAATTTAATTTTTCCATTTTAAAAACAGAAGAATGTTTTTTTTTTCATTTTACTTCATATTTAATTTTTTGCATTATAAATGTAAATTTAATTTATTTTTTCATTTTAAAAGCAACATAAGAATGGTTCTCAATTTATTTAAAAGAAAGTTGTGATAATATTTTGACATATTATCCTTATTAATGATGGTTACAGTAATAATAGTGATGGATAATAATAATTATTAAAAAAATTAAAATTGATATACATATTAAAAAAAAAAAAAAAACTTGGTAAAGTTGGGGTCAAAACGTATTATGTTGGCTTTGGGTTTCTGGTAATATGTTGCTTCCAATTCCCTAACTCCGGCTCTGAAAAATCTTCCCTCGACTTGTATGTCTGAAAAGATTTTTCATTTTTTAGCTTTTGTTAAAATTTGTAAGAGGAGATTCAATACCAAATGCATTAAAAAATTCCATAATCAAAACTAACAAAGGCTATGAGTATAATTTTACTAGTACTGGTATCAGGTACAAAAATAAAATTAAAAAATCTTCAATTTATAAAGTGTTGGTATTTATTTTTTGAATAATACAAAAAATTTTGTATATTCTTATTGAATCGGGTATTTTAAAAATTAATAATTGCAAAAAAAAAATTATTTTTTTCCTTTAAGTTTTTTTCCCCCTTTAAGTTTATAGTCTTATGACAGGAATTCTTTTTTTTAAAAAAAAAAAAAAAAAAAAAAAAAAATCTCATAGCAGCCTCTAGGCCTCTGGGGTAGTAGATGTTAAGCCTTTTAAAAGACCCATTAGTTATATGGGCTAACTCATTTCTCCTTTCTACGTGGGCTATCGATGCCTGAATTTCGTACCACTGGCCAGTAGCCGTTCATAAATGCAATTTATATGTACTGCCCAACATAATAATCAATTATGAACATGTATGACGTTCTTTAAAATGATATGAAAAATAATTTAATTTTAATTAACTATTATAAAATAAATAGAAATAATAGGAGAATTGAAGAAAAATATGATAAGAAAATGAAATCACTATAATGTGGATACAAGTGATAAGAACTTCAAAGTTTCTCTTATTTTCTCTAGAAAACTTGTACACCAACTAATGAACAATCAAGCCTATTTATAGGTTTCAAAATTAAAGAGAGAATTGGAAGGGACTATGAATAATCAATTGCATCACCCTTTCAATTTCTCATATTGAATGATGAATTAAATCATGTTAAGAATCATGAGTAGTAGGGATATGAAAAGTGGATGAACATGATGATGGACATTCATTATTTCATAACACTCCCCTTAAATGTCCATTGTAAGGAACATGCCTCGTTAAAACTTTACTAGGAAAAAACCCGAGTGGGAAAAAAATCCTAGTGAAGGAAAAATAGTACAATATTCCTTGCACACATTAATCCCCATTTGGTCTTCCCTCGTTGAAGGCATTATTTAAGATCTCTAAGACGACGCATTCCAATCTTGTGAATCATCTTTTCAAAAATCGTGGTATGTAATGCTTTAGTGAATAAATCTGTTGGATTGTCACTTTGATGTATTCTTCCTTCAATAGAACTATGCAAACGACATTATCCTCATATGATATTGTTGGAACTTTTTTTCGATAGATAACTGCATGTCTCTCGAGTATGATAGATCATTGATCTTAGCCAAATGTCTCTCGGATATGATGGATCGTTGATCTTAGCCAAACACATTCTTGACTTGCCTCGTGAATTGATATTTCTACATGATTTGAAGATATGGCGGCTATAATTTGTTTTATAAAACACAAACATATAACTGGATCTCCATATGTAAATATATAACTAGTTGTGATCGAGCTTTGTGTAGATCGGATAAATAACTTGCATCCGTATAACCAATTAATCTTGTATTTGATTTCTTGGAATAATATAAGCCCATATCAATTATTTCTCGAAGATAACATAGTATATATTTAACTTTATTTCAACGTCTACGTATTGAAACAAAACTATGACTTGCTTAATAAATTTATAGAAAAGACTATATCAAGTCGAGTATTATTAGCAAGATATATCAATGCATCGAAACACTAAGATATGGTACTTCGGGACCAAGAAGTTCTTCGTTATCTTCTCGAGGTCAAAAAGAGTCTTTTTGGATATCAAGTGAATGAATTGCCATTGGGTTAGTCAATGAATGATCTTTATATAGAATCATTATAGAATCTTTTTCTATATAAATTGAGCGATGAATAAAAATCTCATTCTACGAGTGCTCAAGCTGCGAGTCGAGATAACATTTTTTTTCCAAGATATTCACATCAAATTCTTTTTTTTAGGTAACTTATGACACTTGGAATCTCTTCGAGAGTTCCAATAATATTTAAGTTATCAACATATAAAACAAATTCCTTTTCAAATAAAAACATATGAACAAACGAGTTATTTTTTTTATAACTTTCTTTCAATAAATAATCATTGAAGTGATTATATCACATGCACACGGGTTAGTAATAAACGAGTAGATATAAAAATAAAATATAAAAAGTATAAATTGAATTTCTAAAAACCAAAATAATAAAATAAATACTAAAATAATCTTAATAGAGATCTCTATAATTTAATTGAATTCTTTTCTCGAGAATATGTATTACATGCTTATGGCATGTTAAGTCCTTCTAGGACTTTCATGCGATATCATTTCAAATGAATAAATAAACCGTGATCACATTCATTAAATGCATGCATATGAATGTTTTTCATACATTTTTCCAAGCTAATGAGATAAGAAAAGACAATTGCATCCACTATAGGAGAATATGTCTCCTCGTAGTCAATGTCAATTTTTTACGAAAACTTTTATGTTAAAAGTTTTGCTTTATATCTTATAATCTCATCTTTCTTATTTCATTTTCACATAAATACATATTTGTATCTCACTAGCTTAACATCTTCGATTGTTTTAACTATGGGTTCAAAAAACTACTCTTTTATAAGAGAACATAATTACGTCTAGATTGCTCTTTTCATTTAGGCCAATCATCTTTATGTCAATATTCTTCAATAATTTAAGCTCGGGATTCTTATTTTCATCCATAATATCAATTGCAATATTATATGCAAAAATCTTATCAATCGATGTTTCTTTTTGGTCCTATTTTCTCCCTGCATTGATATAATTTATCAAAATCTCTTGATTTTTCTCAAGTATTTGGACTTCTTCGGAAGCCTATTATCAAAAATATATTGGACCATTTTGTGAATATTTCCATCTTGCCCTTTTCTTTTACGGATTTTTATTTTCGAACCGATCGGTCTTTCACGCTTCGGACGTGCTTTAAATTCATTAGCTATAATATTAATAGATTATGCTTCTAGTACATTAATTATAATAGGAGCATTCTCGGCGAGAGACATGCATTTTAGTTACTCATTTAAGATCCGAGAATGCATCGACGGTCGGTTTCAATACCTTGTAAATGAATTATCTTTTGAACTTCTAGTTCACATTATCTTCTACAAGAATCAAGGTGATATAAGATAGAGTACTCCATGTAATCTTTTTTCTTTCAACATAACCAATTGCTTATTTTGTTTATTCTCTCCCGTAATGTTGAAAAAATTATTTCATTAAAATGACGATC